TCAGCACTGTCCTCCTTTGCACTTGCTTTCTTAGGACCCATGGTTAAAAACAAGAAATTTTGCAAAATAATTGCATGGAACGCAAGAAAAACACAAGAATTCCCTCCACCGTGAGTGGAGTGGACTGAGCGTTGTTTTGATACATACTGCAGTCTTGTGGTGGGGTTCAGAAACTCACTTATAGGATAGGGTGCAACAAGGTCTGACACTGCTGTTTCATGTTGTCTGCCACTGCTACCTCATAATGTCTGCCACTGCTGCTTCATGTTGTCTGCCACTGTTACCTCATGATGTCTGCCACTGCTGCTTCATGTTGTCTGCCACTGCTACCTCATAATGTCTGCCACTGCTGCTTCATGTTGTCTGCCACTGCTACCTCATGATGTCTGCCACTGCTGCTTCATGTTGTCTGCCACTGCTACCTCATAATGTCAGCTCCCACTTTTGTTAGTGTTGAAGAGCTCTCCAATATGTGAAGGTTAACCCTTTCAGGGTCCGTCCCGTAGATCAACGGCTTTACGTTCAGGGTCCAAACCGTAGATCTACATCATGAGCTCAGCTCACTCTGATAAACTGTGAGTGGTAAATTTGGGCCTAGATATGAGAGAATACATCTATGTGGTATGTGTGCACCACATAAAACAAATCCTGCAGCACACTGTGTATAATGAGAGAAAAAAAACTGAGACCATGATTTTCGATTAAAACAGCGACTTTGCAGTGTTTTTTTTGTATGCTTTTTATAGTTGTATTTGTGATTTTTGGTCTCATTTGATAGAATGGAAGACATATTACAGAATAGGGATAATTTTGATTGGTGTTAGCACTGGAAATGGCTTGAAACTGAGCTCAAAGTGGCGGAAATGTTAAATTTTTGCCGATGTTCAAGAGTAAACAAACGACCTCACACGTCTAATACACGTCAGCTGGTGGGTCTAATATACATTCACAAATGTGGTGATGATATTTATACAATTAAATTTCAATATTGCATAACAGTTTAAAACTTCTATTTTTTGGTGTGAATAAAAATTCATTATGTGAATAAAAAATCAAAATGGAATTTATTTGTAAAGCCTCAAAACATAACTAATGAACAGAGGAAATGTTAGTTTAGTGCCAAGAATACCTACATTGTTTATTCTGGACCCTATTTTGAAATTGGAACATTTGAACTTTGTGTTAAATTGGCCAATTACCAATTTCCGGTCACTTTATTTTGTAGTTGAAACAGTTGACTTGGCGATTTCTTGTGCTCAATCGATAGAATAGAAGTAATACTAGTGAAATAGCTGAGAATTTGGTTGACTGGAATAATGTAATTGGCCTAAAATGGGAGTCAAAGTCGGCAAAATCGCCGATTCGTAAATATCGCTGACACATCAAAATTCACGAGAGCATAATTTCGTAAATTTTCCATCAAATTTCGTACTTTTTGTTTTATTACATTCACAAAAAGATTCTCTACCATTTCATAAGAAAAAATAAAAAAATTTTTTTTTGAAAATTCTTGGACACTGGGGGCACCACTTCAGATTTTGGCCTTGGACCCTGAAAGGGTTAAGGGGCAGTGCCAATCGGACAAGTACTGGATGTTTACTCTTGAACATCGCCAAAGAATCAAACATTTCATATCTATTTCTGTAGTATATCTTCCATTCTATCAAATGAGAGAAAAAAAAAAAATAGAGAATACAACCAAAAGAAACATGAAAATATACTGGTAAGGGGAGGCTAATGGATGAGATGTGAACTCCGTTATTCATGGTCAGATTTCTTTCAATTTTGGTGTACGTTAAGAAGCAGCTTTCCATCATACATTGCCCAAGTTTCAATAAGATAGTCCAACAAACAAATGAGATCCAGTTCCCTAAATCAAGAGCAAGAGCCCCTCACCAGCATCAAGGAACCTTCCTCGAGACCCGCTTGCATCTGGAAGCAAAAAATAAACCGAGCGACTGCTCGTATCTGGGAAAGCTCGCATGTGGATGCACTCATAAGTAGAGGTTCCATTGTACCACTAGCACATGTACTCAGCATCATCTGAAGAAAGTTTAGATCTACGTGAAATCCCAAAGGTCTTAAAAAGTGTAGACATAGCTCCTTGGCATAAAGGAAGTAGTAGAGTGCTAACCAAAAATTACAGACCAGTAGCCCCTAACATTGCACATCATAAAGTCTACAAAAGGGTGAAGAGATGCCAAATTACAAATTTTATGAAACAACACAACCTGCACAACCTAACCCAACATGAATTTACAGCAAGATCACGCTTGTCACAAGTACTGAATCACTATGGCAGAATTACAGAGGACCTCAATTATAATAAAAAAGAAGTGCTAAACCTAAGAGGACCTCAAAGAGAGTCAAAATGCATATGTGGTATACATGAATTTTGTAAAAGCTTCTGACGAATGTGATCATGTAGCGATTGCATGTAAAATGTGGTCGATAAGTATAATAGGGAACCTAAGCAAGTGGATATTCAGCTTTCTGACAAAAGGAATAGAAAGAGTAGCAGCAGAGTAAAATCCAGCATTAGTAAAGTAAAATACTTGGTACCCCAAGGAACAGTCCTGACACCTTCACTGTTTCTTATCCTCATAGCAGATATAGACAAGCTTACGACAATTTTGTATCATTTACAAATACCAAAATAAGCATAACAAACACTTCACAGAAGATGTGAAAAATTACAAGGGAGAAGCGGAGTCATCCAATGGGCAGTGAAGAATAAAATGATGATGTTCACTGGTGACAGGTTCCAACTGCTTAGATATGGAAAGAATGAAGACCTTAAAATAGACACTGTACAAAATGCAAGATCACCAAATATAGTAAAATTAACATGTGAATAACATGGATGTAATAATGTCAGCTGATCGTCCTCTTGAAACATATACATAGATCCTTTGTGGGAATGTCTTGAATTCCCAAATAGTATGTACCTGCTGGCATGGAGAAGGGAGACGCATATGATATACATATGTGAAAGGTACTGGAGGGTCTGCTTCCAAATTTGCACACTGCTATAACATACTAGAGCTAGAGATATGGGAGGAAATGTAAACCCAGTGAAAAGCAGGGGCACTGTGGGTACAATAAGAGAACACTATATCAACATCCATGGTCCCAGAGTATAAATAATTTATTTTATTTATTTATTTATTATAAATTTGTGCACACATACAGAGGTACAAAAAAATACAGATAAGAGCAGTATGCCAAAGCCACTTATACTATGCATAGCATTACGGGCTGGCTTAAAATTAACTTAAGATTAATTAAGCAATGATGAAGTCAGTGATAAAACATTAATGTAAACAGATTACTATAAAGCACAAGTGAGCATTACAAAGACAGGTCATATGAAGGATTCTGTTAGGTAGTGTATTTAAAAAATAATAAAGTTAGATTGGGTTTTAGGTTTAACATTTATGTGATATAATTGTGAGAAACATTTAAGATATACAATTTATAAGGTTCAGTTATTCAGTATTTATTTGGTTTTGGGTGAGTAAGTGATCTTTGAGTAGAGACTTGAATTTATAAACAGGTAGTGTTTCTTTTATATTTACAGGTAATGAATTCCAGATTTTAGGGCCTTTTATGTGCATTGAGTTTTTGCATAGTGTGAGATGAACACGAGGAACATCAAAGAGTGATCTGTGCCTTGTGTTATGGTCATGTGTTCTGTTGAGGTTGGCAAGGAGATGTTTGAGGGGAGGGTTAATATCAGAGTTAAGTGTTCTATGTATGTAATAGGTGCAGTAATAAGTATGGATGTTTTGTATGGTGAGTAGGTTTAGTGTATTGAATATTGGTGGAGTGTGCTGCCTGTAGTGAGAATTTGTTATCATTCTAACTGCAGCCTTTTGTTGGGTAATTAGTGGTCTGAGATGGTTAACTGTTGTTGAGCCCCATGCACAAATTCCATAGGTGAGATAGGGGTAAATAAGAGAGTGATATAGGGCCAGGAGGGCTGACTGTGGAACATAGTACCGTATCTTCGATAGTATGCTGGAACAATGAAGAAGTCAAGAGGAAGCCCAGCAAGTACCTCTGCCAAGTGCTGAATCAACCAGGCTGTGATGGATATGTAGGTCAGTGGGATACCAGCAGCAACAGCCTGGTTGACCAGGTAAACCACCAGATAAGACTAGCTGCAGAAATATGAAAACTCTTAAAACCTGTCAAAGGTATATCAAACAGGAAAGGTAGTGATGTCAAGAGAAAAGTGCTGATGTCAGGGCAAAGTGCTAATGTGACAGCAAGTGGAGTGCGAACAGCAGACTCCTGTGCTGAGAACAGCATAGTAAGTGTCAGCACTGAAGGTGGGGCACTCCGAAGGGAGGGTGGCGAGGGTGATGACAGCTAAGATGAAGGCAGTCAGGGTGATGACAGCTAAGATGAAGGCAGTCAGGGTGATGACAGCTAAGATGAAGGCAGTCAAGGTGATGACAGCTAAGATGAAGGCAGTCAAGGTGATGACAGCTAAGATGAAAGCAGCCATAGTGATGACAGCTAAGATGAAGGCAGCCAGTGATGATAGCTATGATGAAGGCAGTCAAGGTGATGACAGCTAAGAAGAAGGCAGTCAGGGTGATGACGGCTAAGATGAAGGCAGCCATGGTGATAACAGCTAAGATGAAGGCAGCCAGTGATGACAGCTATGATGAAGGCAGTTAAGGTGATGACAGCTAAGATGAAGGCAGTCAGGGTGATGACAGCTAAGATGAAGGCAGCCATGGTGATGACAGCTAAGATGAAGGCAGCCAGTGATGACAGCTATGATGAAGGCAGTCAAGGTGATGACAGCTAAGATGAAGGCAGTCAGGGTGATGACAGCTAAGATAAACCCAGTCAGGGTGATGACTAAGATGAGGGCAGTGAGGGTAATGACAGCTAAGATGAGGGCAGTCAGGGTGATAACAGCTAAGATAAAGGCAGTCAGGGTTATGACAGCTAAGATAAGGGCAGTCAGGGTGATAACAGCTAAGATGACGGCAGTTAGAGTGATATCAGCTAAGATGAGGGCAGTCAGGGTGATGACAGCTAAGATGAAGGCAGTCTGGGTGAAAGGAGCCAAGATCAGGGCAGTCAGGATGAAGGTAGCCAAGATTAATGCAGCCAGGGTGAAGGCAGCCAAAATTTATGTAGCCAGGGTGAAGGCAGCCAAGATTAATTCAACCAGGGTAATGGCATCAGGACATTGAAGTCAGAAATTAATTAGGGATCTCTGACAGGGAATATCTACAGTGGCTGTTGGAATTTTTTCTTCTATCCAAAGTTTTCATTTATAACTTATGAATACCTTGTTAAATTGCTCTTAAATTTTCAACACTGGTGTACAACATATAGGGAAAAAGTTCACGTTGTTACTGGAAGGGGCAGATGCCTTTCGGTCAATTTTACACTCTAAGAAGTGATCTTTGTTTCGGTAGGACAACTTGAGAATGCCTTTTCTGATCTGCTTCAACATATACCATACCTGTGATGTTCTTAAGAGTTTTTCAACTCCGAGCTTGGCCTTGGGCCAGATGGATACAACAAAGAAGATTCAGATTATTACTGCCACATGTAGATCCTAATTTGTTTATTTTTTTCCATTAAACAATTTAATGCATCATCTGAACAATTTTTAGCATTCAAGGGTGATGCCCGACCTTGGTACTAAATTCAGGCAACAAGATGTTGCTTGAAAGAGATAATGGGTTCTGAGGAAGGTTTGTGGATGTGTCAGTGTGAGGGAAGGTTGCAGCATGAATATTGCTATTCATAAAAGTTTGTTTTTAAAGTTAATTTTAAGCCAGCCCGTAATGCTATGCATAGTATAAGTGGCTTTGGCATACTGCTCTTACCTGTATTTGTTGTACCTCTGTATGTGTGCTCAAATTTTTAAATAAATAAATAAATAAATAAATAAAGGGGAAGGGACAACTCTGATGTGGATAAATAAAAGGAAACCATATACAGTGGACCCCCGCATAACGATGGCATCACATAGCGATTTTTCCGCATACCGATTACTTTTATCGCAAAATTTTTGCCGCGCATACCGATTAAAAACCCGCTTACCGATTTTCGTCCGAGACGCGTCCAATGTGCCCTCAGCCAGCCTCACATGTGCCGGCCGTCCCATTGTTTACCAGCCAGCCTCCGCGGTAACATCCAAGCATACACTCGGAATATTTCGTATTATTACAGTGTTTTCGGTGCTGTTTCTGGAAAATAAGTGACCATGGGCCCCAAGAAAGCTTCTAGTGCCAACCCTGTGGTAAAAAGGGTGAGAATTAGTATGGAAATTAAGAAAGATTTTGAAGGGTTTGGGGCTAACCCTGAGAAGCCTATGCCAGTTGTGGAATCCATTGTGCCTACTTCAAAGATTAAGGAAATGTGTACACAGTGGGTTGAACTGCAAACCTTTATAGATGAAAATCACCCTGACACAGCTGTTGCAAGCCGTGCTGGTGACTATTTCAATGACAATGTTGTGGCCCATTTTAGACAAATCGTAAAGGAACGGGAGGTACAGAGCTCTATGGACAGATTTGTTGTGCGACAGAGGTCCAGTGACTCTCAAGCTGGTCCTAGTGGCATTAAAAGAAGAAGGGAAGTAACCCCGGAAAAGGACTTGCTACCTCAAGTCGTAATGGAAGGGGATTCCCCTTCTAAACAGTAAGAAGATAATGCTCTCCCCTCCTCCCATCCCATCAATCATCACCAGATCTTCAATAAAAGTAAGTGTCATTTAATTGTGCATGCCTTTTTCAGTTTGTGTGTATTAAAATTAACATTTCATGTGGTAAAAAAAAATTTTTTTCATACTTTTGGGCGTCTTGCACGGATTAATTTGATTTCCATTATTTCTTATGGGGAAAATTCATTCGCATAACGATTATTTCGCATAACGATGAGCCCTCTTGCACGGATTAAAATCGTTAACCGGGGGTCCACTGTACTTACTGTGAACTCTGATCACCCCCAGTGTGGCTGGCATACCAGGATATCCATCATACCAGGTTGGAACCTCCAGAACTGATATAATAGTGATGGGTAACTGGAAATATTAAGAGTTGCACACCTTTGATCATTACTTATGGCTCTAAAGGCAGCCTCCAGTAATACCTCCATCACTCAAGGACACACTAGGCTGTCCTCTGGGGTCACCAGAGGACAGCCTCGATAATCCAGCTACCTTTTCACACCACCACCACCAAGGTCTACTTAAGAACAGGGTTGATAATCTTTTTCCTTTTGCTCAGAAGCTGAATTTCAGAAGGGGAGAATTTCCCCAATAAGGTCAAATGAAGAGGGAAGAAGGGGGGGATGTACATTATTTGGATTCAATCCAAAGAATGAGATAAGAGGTCTAATTCCTCAAATCAAGAGCCCCTTCAGCATGCCAGAGGACCCTCTTGGAGCCAAGAGTCAGGACAATAACAAATGGTGATAAGAGAGTCTACTCGTCTATGCCAAACAAAACCAACTCGTCTAACTATTTCTTATCTCTTCACCATCTATTATAACCATTCCATTGCCTGAAAACATAGAGCCAGTTAAAAACTATTTAAGAAATCCCAAATAATTCAAGATCACAATAAGTTTAAAGTATATTAACACATACATAAATTTATACTATTTTTGATACCTCTCTCTTTTAAAATAATTATACATACTTAAAATTGTACCACTCGATACCCAAGTCTAGTCTTAAGTAGTGTGTAGGCATTGGGATTAATCTGCCCGAAATGCACTGCATGTTAGTAGCTTTCTTTTGTGCTTAACAATATTTCATTACAGTAGACTGTTATATTACACAGATTTATTTGCCATGTTTTGGTTATTGCACTATTGAAAAATTGCAGCACAATTTTATACAACAGTTCGTAAAATTACCATTACAGGTGTGGAAAAATTTCCCCAGCTCAAGCTGCTGCCTTGTTGTGGGTCAGCGGGGGGAAACCTCCCCACATCACCATCCCAGCCTTCCTGAATATATGTCCAGTACGAATGCTCCCTAGGAGCTAGCTGTGTTTGTGAATTGTGTTTTGATTTTTAGTTACCATATCTTGTATCTGCCAAGCAATCATGACACCCAGTAGGCATGCCAGTGTTGCTGAAAGTAGCAAGAAAAGGTATAAGAGTTTAAGTCGTAGAGTTAACGAAGAAAATAGAGATGTTAGACAAGAGATAGCTTGTGGCCATAATGAAGCGTCAGTTTTTGCAATTAAACTAGTCAGAGTCAGTCAGTTAAACAGGAGTGTGTTCCAAGGTGTTTCTTTGGTTGTTACTTGGAATCACATTATGTAAACAACAGTAAAGTACCTGCTGGAAGGATTCACATGTACTTGGTATTTTTTTTATTAATACATCGGCCGTTTCCCACCAAGGCCGGGTGGCCCAAAAACGAAAAACTTTTATCATTCACTCCATCACTGTCTTGCCAGAGGTGTGCTTACACCACAGTTATAAAACTGCAACATTAACACCCCTCCTTCAGAGTGCAGGCACTGTACCTCCCACCTTCATGACTTGAGTCCAACCTGCCAGTTTCCCTGAATCTCTTCATGTTACCTTGCTCACACTCCAACAGTACGTCATTTCCTAAATACCACTTCTCTCCGCTCACTACTATCTAACATGCTCACACATGCTTGCTGGAAGCCCAAGCCCCTTGCACACAAAACCTCCTTTCCCCCCCCCTCCCTCCAACCTTTCCTAGGCCGACCCCTACCCCACCTTCCTTCCACTAGAGATATGCTCTCCAAGTCATCCTATTGCATTTCATCCTCTCTAAATGTCTGAACCACCTCAACTCCTCCTCAGCCCTCTGGATAATATTTTTAGTAACCCCACACCTCCTAATTTCCAAACTATGGATTCTCTGCATTATATTCACACCACACACTGCCCTCAGACACAACATCTTCACACGCTTCTCCTTGTTGCAACATTCACCACTTGGTAATAACAACATAAGCAGACAAAGTGCTAAATCCAGAAGGGTCATACAGTGCTGCAGGGAGGAATGTGCTAGAGAAATAAATGGACTTTAGGAGGGAGGGGCAGGAGTGTGCAAGGGTATGGGTTAGTGGGGGGGAGGGGAGTGAAAAGGTAAAATATAATCAGATTTGGTACAACAAGTTAGTCTGTTAAAAACAGTAATGAGAGTGTGTGTGAACTAGCAAGGAGGTCAGTTAAAGTGAGCTGGGGCAATGGAGACATCGGAAATGAATTCTGCATGACTGCTGTTACACAGGACAGTCTTTTAAGATGTGATGAACTGACAATGCAACCTGGCAATCCTCACAGAGGGTTGCCAGGCACTTTTCCATGTGTCTGTGAGTGATGTTCATGTAGGTTTGCCAGGATGGGTCATGGCCCGGGTCTTCTCCTTGTGGCGACCCAACAGTGGTTCCTGAAGAAGTGTTAGAGTTGGTACAAATGATGTACCATTTACAGCCTTATGGCAAGGGCACGGTGAGCATTCAAGTCAAGTGGTGTATCGTTTACAGCCCTAAGGAGGAGGCAGTCCTATGACAAAGGCACGGTGAGTCTTCTGCAGGTCAAGTGGAGTACTGTTTGCAGCCCTATGGCAGGGACAACCCTATGACAAGGGCATGGTGACTCAACTCCAACTGAGCCATTCCTAGCAGTCAGGCTGCAGCCCCAAGTGCCAGAACAACTCGTGACAGTGAGATGTGTGGGGCCAATACGTAGGCAAGAGTGTGCAGTCTCTCAAATGTGACAGCAGTGAGATAGCCAGAAACCCAAACATGGTTTACCAGAGTAACTTATGAACTAACTCGTACTACTGTTGTTGCCAGTGGTTGAGTTGCCAAGAGATTTCTGAAAAATAGTCTGATAAAGGAATACATACTCAAGTAAATTGGGAGGTTACAAACACCTTACCGTGTGCTTGGTAAGATATCTATGTACAGTGGAACCTTGGCTTACAAGTTTAATCCATTCGTGACCTTGCTCGTATCCTGATCTGCTCATATGCCGAGTCAATTTTCCTCATTTAAATTAACTGAAATGTGTTTAATCTGTTCCAGCGGAATTCCTGCTCTCAGGAGGCAGGAATATGACGCTAATATAAACTCTATGGCTTATTTATCTATCAAAATTCATCTAATATGACATAATAAACAATATAAATAACACAGAAACCTGATATATACTCTAGAAC